TGCCTACCTGCAAAGTTAATTAAGGACATCAATCATGATGTAATAGAGGTTTCCAAGATAAAAGAAAAATAAACTCGACACCTGATTTACTCCCTTGAGTACACACTATAAAATTTGGTCCCCTTAGTAAGCATGTGGACCCATTTTTCAGGTGGGGTTTCGAAGACTCAATTTGGTTCCCAATCTTCTCACTTTTGATTTGAAACAAGATGAATATTTCATTGATCACTATACCTTGACCTAATTTAGAACAAAATATTGAGTTGATTCACTGTACCTAGACGTAGTTAAGAACTCAGTATGCAAGGTTTTGTAAGCCTTGAGGCAGAACGAGGCGTAAGCCTCAGTTCAATAAGAAAAAATAGTACTAATATATGTACTCCGAGGTAAAAAAAAGTGCATAATCCAATTTCATGATAAAATGATAAGATCATAATTCTTGAATTTTACAAAAAATGATACCCTGTCTTAATTCTTAAAACACAAAAAAATAGAACTATAAAAATAAAACAGTAACATAAAACACTTATGTCTCAAATACATAAATATGGACAAATATTCACGCAAAAAAGTTAAATCATTCTTTGAGATTTGTAGTTTGTACTAAATTCAAAAGAGGGAGAGGGATGCTGGAAAAGAAGGAACCAAAAAAATTAAAAGTTGAAAGAAAAAGATGAAAGAAATAGAAGATAAGCAATTATAATATGAAGCAATCGCCTTAGCCGCTACCGCAAGAGAGAAGCTATGCCACTGAAGTCTGAAAATGGAGAGAAGTACGGTTGAAGATGAAGAGACGAGAGGTGACGCTAAAGTCTAGAAAGAAGTGTTAATTATCTACTAGGTTTATTAAGTTCATCTAAAGAAACTATACAGTGCACTGACCCAAAATAGCACACCGCCTCGGACCAGCTGAGGCTTAAGCCTCAGAGAGGAAATGCAACCGGCTCGAGGTGGACCACCACGGTCAGCTTTTAAAATCATGAATATGGTCATCATATATGTAGCTTGGAACCAACTTTATCATAAGCCAACATATATACTTAATAATGATAATAAAAAATATGTGCAGGGGCTAAATCGAGATTAAATTGCATTGTCAAGGACAAAATTGAATTGAAAAGGAAAATGAAGACAGAACTGAGTAATTATCCCTTCGTCTCAAAATTCATTTGCCATGTGAAAAATGGCACATAGTTCAAAAGAAGTGAAATTGTGCGGTTAATGTTTGTGCAGAGAAAAAAATATGAACAACAAATTTCAATCCTTAAAATGGGATGTTTACGTTGGGACATTAAAAAAGCAAAGAAGGAAATTGATTTTGGGAAGGAGCAAGTAGTACATAATCAAGAGATTAAAAACGTATTAACTAAAAAAATAGATCTTATAAACTACCATACCATTTGAGAGGTTCATGCTAGAAAAAGCAGCAACCATATCGGTGGGATCATTTATATGAGAGGATACACCATCAAATGTATTCAGTTTATTCATATGTTTTTTGTCGGGTGTAGCAATCCTCCCACCACCAATAGGAGTAACAGAAGGACTAGGAGAAGTGGCAACACGTTTAGTGTCGGGCGTGGTGCTCCTTGACAAGGAGGAACCCAAAACCGCAGCATATGAATACGATGATGGGGGCAAACCAGCATGATGAGCAACCGATGGACTATTGGCATTTGCTGGAGACCTTAATGGGTCTGAGGACAACAAGTCATGATGAAGGTGAGAAAACTCAGGTTCTGCAAGGGGTAGAGAATCTTCACTACCAACATATGCATTACGGCTAGTTGGGCGGGAAATGTGACCACCCAATGAAGGGGCACAATCGAGGTCATCCTACACAAATCACAAATTAGAAACACTCATCAAGTAAAAGAGAAAATACAAAATGTGATACCTTAATAGATAATGCTGTGTTGAAGCAAAATAAGACTACAACTTGAAATATCATGCTCAAAACAGAAATTACAAGATTATCGCTGATGAGAGTACAGAAGTATTCCTTCCAAATAACTGAATAAGAATACTTTCCTATGTTCAAGAAACTAAATGAAATCAAGGCATATGCGTGGTTGTGTGTATTTACAACTGATAATTCGAGAGACCTGCTTATAATTAGGTAATTGACTATAGTGGAACAAATAGAAACACCTTCATGATGAATAAATAGCTTCAAGAAAATAAATGAGTATAATCAATCAGATTTGCAAATTTTCAACAAATGCTAAACAAACAAGTTTAGCTTGAGCATACACCAATTTAGACAGCCGATCAAGAAAGTGGCTTAGAGTTAAAAGGTTAAAAAACTGGGGGGTATATAAAACGAAGGCAGGAACCTTGAAGCAATTAAAAGAATCACACATAAAGAATTCACATGCACACCAGGGTTGAGAGAAATGAATCACATGAATTTGAAATGCATTGCACGATTGACATTTCAAAGCAACAAACACAATCAAAATCGAGAGCATAAAACCAGATTACATTCTTGTACCTAAACCATTCATCAGAAAAACAGATATTAGACATGGGTGAATACAAATAGTTATTCATATATTCACCTGAAATATCTCAGCTATGCTCTTCTGGTTGGCACCCAATCCTAATCCTTGTAAACCAATCAGACCATCACTGCCCCACTCAACTGAAGCCACTGATTCATTCTTGATTTCCTCTTTAGTCGCGTTAAATCCAGGTGGCATGGAAAGAGGTGATCTGCCAGTGGTGGAACTACCATTGTTGTTCACATTTGTCCTGTCCCCTACAACAGAATTCCCTCCTTGTAATCTCTTAGCAAACCTCCAATCCTCTTTGGACATGAGAGGAGGGGGTAACCTAGGGTTCAGATTCACATTAGCATAATAGTAAGATGAGTATGCCGGATGAGACCTAAGTTCGTCATCAGATAAAAACCCATTTCCATTTTCACTCCGAGCGAATTCCTGAACGGGGGAGAAACCTACACCTCCAAAGCCAGTGCCGCCGCCTTGTCTAAGCAGACCACCCGCTGCCGTAAAAGAGCCCTCTACAGTTGGAGGAGCTGAACCACTTCTATACAAATTCAGCTCCTTTTCAAGATCATCAGCTTCTTGGCGCCTCTGCTCACTAAGCAACAGTCCTAACTCCTTCTCCAGATCATCCCCAAACGAATTTTCATTGCTCCCCATCATTGGCCTAAATTCAGAAAACTTATTCACAATCTGAAAGACCAAACGATCACTCAGTAATCCCACAAAAACCACCAGCCCTCCCTATAAAGCTCAAAAACTTAATCAAACCGACCCGGGTAATCTAAATCCTAAACTCTTTAAAAACTCAAACTTGAAAACCTAAAAATCACAGATTTACGCTTACACATGTACATAATACGTCTGTTCTGAGTAAAATAAAGAAAGATATAGCTCTCTGATCACAAACCAAAAAAGAATTCTTACTTCAAACCTATTACTGGGAACGGTCGAAATAGAACACACAAATGAATTTCAAGAAAGAGTCTCGAAGAGCCAGAAAGCGCATAACTGGTAGAAGGTCTATGAAGGGTGGTAGACTGGGGTGAAGTTGAGATAAAAATGGAGCTGGCGGCGATTTTTCTAGCAGAGAACCCTTTTAGGGTTTTGTTTTTCAACAACTCTGAAAAGGGAATCAATTACGGAGTACTATATATAGTAGTACTATTTTTGCACATAAAATCTAGGAGCAATGGGGCTTTGGGGTGGGAGGAATGGGAAATTTTTTTGGGTGGCATCATTGGCTCTCTCCTTTTATCTTCTTCAAAGCTCAAACTCCTTTTACTTTTTTGAAATTTTTTCTAATTCCATCTATTGTCTTTATTCAAAAATTCACACAAATACTTCAAAGAATTTGTGATTAATAGTCTCAAATTTAAAAACTTATACAACTGCATCAAGAAATTGCTCAAGTTTATATTAATATTCCAGACTTTCAACTATGTAGAATATATGACATTTTAAATGAAATCAATAAATTATTAAGTATGTAGCGGTAACTACGAAGTGATAAAAAATAAAGAAAAATAATGTTTCAGACAAAATAAAAAATTGAAGTAAATATTTCATTACCAAATTTATATAAATTCAGCATTATATCAATTTTAAAATTCTCTAATTTTTTATTTGTATTCATAATTTATATGATTAAAATATAAACACTTTATTTTTTCAGTTTGGACACATTTTTATTATAACTCGACATCGAGGGGTAATTATAACGCATTCAGGGGTATTTTTTGTAAATAATTATTAACTCATATTTAGTAATTATTCAGTCACTATTTAAAATGTCATATATTCAGCTTAGTTGGCTTCATTAAGTATTGGTGTGATGTGAAATTGAATAATTTTTTAGAGTAATGGTGTAAATTATTGAGTTTCAGAGTATTAACATAAAATGACAATTTTCTTAGAGTATTTTGTAAATTTTTTCTTGCTTTTATCTCATTTTATCCATTTTGCTTTTTTAGAATAATCTCTCAATTGAGATTAAAATATATATATGTTTATACTGGAAAATAAAATTTATAAAATCAAATAGTATTAAAACATAATGTCAAAAAATCATTTTCTTTATATATAAAAAAGGGATTCTAAGTTCTAAAAATTTGACATGTAAAATTGCTTCCGTGACATTTATGTAAAGATTAAAAAGAATTAAGTAATATAACTAGTAAGTAATATAAGTTTATAACTAGTTATAGTGGTAAAAAAAATTGAAATCAAATGTAATTGATCAATATGTACACAAATATAAAATATTTATTGTCAGGCAAAAAATTTCGGATATGATGGATTTCAGATCTTATCAATATCGGGTTTTATCAATTTCGGATCTTACCAGTTTCGGGTTTTATCGATTTGAGATTTAACCGATTTCAAATTTCTTCAGTTTCAGATCTAATCGGTCCGATCTAGTCGGTTTTAGGTTTGAATCGGGTATATATTTATTGAGTTCGATTTCGAATCATTTATGTTATTCGATTCGGTATTGAATCAGTACTTTTTAAAGTGAATTGGCCAAATTGGCTGACTGTACCGGTAAAGGAAGACCCAAGCTCCCCTGCTGCGCCGGAAAAGACCGTCCGCGTTTCCAACAACGCCGGAGAAGGACCTGCGCGTGACGGAGGAGGAGCTCAGGTAAGCTTTTCCGTTCGCAGAGCTGCGCCCGAGTGTGTTTCTCACACCCGCCTTTCTCATGCGGAGTAATAAAGTGTCAAATTAATTTGAGACGAGGAAGTTCGTAATTACACAGCTATGTTATGAACTAAGTAATTTCACGACTTAATAATTGCATTATGTTATCCAAACACACTTGTCGTCTTCGTAGGTTGAACTTGGTCTTGGTCATGGAGATGGTGAATTTGAGTCACCATTAAGCAGAGAATTCATATTGATCTAAACGTCTAGTACAAACTACAAAGTAGTAGTACTTCAAGATTATAAGGATAAGTGCTTTGTTCATTTCAAACCCTATATAGCATAAGACTTGAATGGATTAAAATTTATTTAGTCTTTTCATAAAAAGAAACAATCAATGTTCAAAGTTGATTGCTTTTTTTAATGTCAAACAAATGAATTTATGGTATGTTTGGGAACATGGATTTGGATTTCAAATCCGGATTTGGCTCAAATTCCATGTTTGGAAACTTACAAATTTTGAATTTGGATTTGAATCAAATTCTTCTCATTCATAACAAAGCTTAATTTTAAATCCAAGCACCTCCCCTTGTCATTTGAAATTCAAGATTTCAAATTTTGGAATTGAAATACATGAATTGAAATGAAATCTTAGTTGCCAAACACTACCTTATATAATTCATTATGCTCTTCAAATTTTGGGTATTATCTAGTTCACATCATTTCCATTTTCTTCGAACAAATCAACACTATCACTCTATCAGCACCAATTCTGTACCAAAGGTGCATGTTGAAGCAGAGAATAAATTTATACTCAGTATGGTTCTTTATTTTGTCATTAAGGCTTGTGATTATTCTTTAGTAACCATGCTCATTCTAGACTGTGTTCTTGTGCATTCCTCTTTAGGTTGAATGGTGATATAGATATGATGTTATGTGGAGTGTAGACTGATATGGAGAGACCTCATTTGTCGGGAAACAAGAATATTACTCTATAGATCAAGAGTTAGCTGCATGGGCTTCTCCCCACTGGCAAGAAAGTCATGTTGCTATTCTACTTCCACGATTCTTAAAGGATCAAAGGTTCGTGGAAGGAGTAAAATCATTGTTGGATTGTATCGCCAAAATTTTTGTGGTGTTTCTTCAGCTTTATTATTGGAAGATCATGATTATCGTTTCAATGAAAAATACATGAGTAAATATGAACCATTTCTTCCAACTATTCCTAGGAAGAGAATGCATATGTGCTACTCACCAAAATTATGCTCAGTTGTTGTGAGAGTGTACAAATCACTGAGGTGGGAGACAGCTAGAGAAATTAGATTCGGCATAGCAACAGAAATGTATGGTCTTTTCGAATCAATCAATGCCTTTATGATGTGTGTTCATATCTTTGCATGTGTTGGAATGCATATGGAAGTGTATGCAATGCTTAAAGATATTGTTCTCAATTTCCCAAAGGGCGAGTTTGATTTAGTTGAGATATTTCCACTTTTTTTGGCTTCACCCAATGATTCAAAAGTATCCGCTTTGGTGGTTGATGTTCTGATCAAGGTATTTGCTGCGAATAAAATGTTTGAAGATGGTGTTGATGCATATTTCAAGGGTAGAAAACTTGGGTTTGGATTAAGTAATTTCTCATGCAATTTCTTACTGAAATGTTTGGCCGAAGCAAGAAGGAAGGAACTTCTACAAACATTCTTTGAAGAGATGAAGAGATTTGGCCCATCACCCAATGTTTATACGTATACAATTATGGTGAACTTCTACTGCTGTAAGAACCATGCTCAAATGGATCTAGAAAAAGCCACTGATATTATGATGGAAATGGCTAAGAGAGGGATTAGTCCATCTGTTGTAACACACAGCGTTTATATCCATGGACTTTGTAGAACTGGTTGTGTTTACTTTGCTTTGGATTACCTTCGAGACATGAGGCATAAAAATGAATTGCTAAATTCGTATTGCTATAATGCTGTTATACATGGATTGTGTGCAAAAGGTGAACTAGTTGAGGCCACTAATCTTTTTGAAGAAATGATGAGTAGTGGAGTTCCACCAGATTTGTACAGCTATAGCATTTTGGTTGATGGATTTTCGAAACAGGGCAACACTGAGAAAAGTCTTTCTTTAATAATGGAGATGGAAGCTACTAACATAAAACCGTCCCTGGTTACTTATAGTTCACTCTTGAATGGTCTTTGCAGAAGTGCAACAATGGAAATCTCACTTGATTTGTTTTATAAGATAGAGGAATATGGTTATAAGCATGACCAGGTTGCTCACAATATCTTACTAAACGGGTTTTGCTTGCATGGTGATTTGTTCTACGCTCATAAGTTCTTGGAGAAGATGATCAATAATAACATGACTCCTAGTGCTTTAAATTATAACAACTTGATTCATTCTTTTTGCAAGATTGGCTCCATTGGTGAAGCCTTGAAGCTTCTCAGAGCTATGATAAAAGAAGGCCATTACCCTGATATCTTTACCTTCAATTACATTATTCATGGCTTCTGTAGTGAAGGAAAAACAGAGAAGGCACTAGAATTATTTCCTTTGATGCTTAAGATGGATATATTGCCTGGGGTTGTGAACTATGGCACGCTTATTAATGGTTTTACTCAACAGTTCAATATTAAGAAGGCCTTGCAGGTGTACACAAGAATGTTAAAAGTTGGGGTTACACCAGATACAACTCTGTATACAATTCTCATTACAATGTTTTGCAAAATGGGTGAACTAAATGACGCCTACAGACTTTTTAGGGAAATAACCTTTCAGGGATTGAGACCTGATAATGTCTCGTACACGTCTGTTATAGCTGGATTTTGTAGAGTTGGAGATATGAGCAGAGCATTGAGATTGTTTAATGAAATGGCACTTGGGGAAATCTTGCCTTCTGTTGTTACTTATACTTGTCTAATAGATGGATACTGCAAGGTCAATCGTATAGATATGGCCAACATGGTGCTAGATGAAATGAGAAGGAAGAACATTCCTCCTGATGTCGTGACATATGCTATCTTGATCCGTGCATACAAGAGACTTGGACAAGTGAATAGGGCTTTGGAGCTGTTAGACCAAATTAGGAATGAAGGCATCAATTTGGATGTTGTTGCATTTAAAACTTTATGTCATGATGACTGATTTCTGAGAGAAAAAAATGGTAAAAAAAAGCTTTTCTTCGTAAGTTTGAAGAAGACTGTGCCATCAAGTGTAGGGGAATGCTTTGACCACCAAGGAGTGATGGTTTGATGGGATGTAAAGCTACATTACTGAACTCATGGTGAAGGTAACAGACATATCTTTAGATCAAATCTTCTTTTTTTACATATGAAATTATGCAACCCATCATTTCTTGTTTCTGTCGTATACTTCTCTGGCTTTAAGTTTTCTTTGTTGTTTCCATTATCGCAGCCTTCTAGTCATGAAGTATGCCTTTGACAAGAAATATTATATGTAAGTTGTTTTGTTGTTTCCATTATCACAGCCTTCTAGTCATGAAGTATGCCTTTGACAAGAAATATTATATGTGAAAAAATTGAATAATGTATCAGGACAAATATTAGTGATTGTTTCCTGTTTAAATCTAACATGAATTTTGCTACAGATATATACTCTTACATGATAAATAAAGATTTGAAGGCATTGAAGGCTGACCTGATATATTCAAATAAGCACAATATGATCATTGAGTGAGTACATTTCGTAAGTCATTCTAATACCTACGCCGTAAATTAGCATCACCCTCTCTTTAACACACACACACACGCACTGACGCGCACACACATACATGAAGAAGGCTAATCTTACATCCGTTTATATGACACCCATTCTTCACATTGTTTGAATTATGACGAACTGTGCTCTCAATTGTGGATTGATGAATGAAGATGATCCGTGTAAAATTTTATGAGGACGATCCATGTGTTTCGAGTAGGCCGTTTGTGTCCCTTATACCTTGACACATTGCTATATTGACTATCCAAATCTTCATATAAAGAAAGAAGAAAAGGATGTTTAATGTGCCATTTTGAATAAGTCTGTTATTTACCTACCAATAAAATATTGTCAATAATTGACTCTTTTAGCTCTTGTAGCGTTGATGTACTCAAAATTGCAAAACATCACTATGCTTATGGAGCAGCCCCCCATTTTTTCAACAAAAGGACACAGTTTGATGGGAAGAGTATGGATAAGAGCAAAAGGACATTTTTTTAAAAATTTAAAACCCCTATTATTTTTATATATTTTAGTATTCCTTTAAAGACATGAAGTTTTCTTCAAATGTAGTTATTAATCTTTATGATTTCAGAAAAGTCATATTTGAACAAGTTTTGAATTTTTGCAAGTCAAAGTCGTATTTGATCAAGGTACAACGTTTGAATTGTGGCAATATATAATTTCAATGAATCATGAATCTTAATGATTGTGTCCATTATTGATTATTGCAAATGGAGCTAATAGAGTCATTTTTTACAATGTTGTTATCTTCGGATAAATAATCGAGTAACTCAAAATGACACGTTAAAATTCCCTTCTTAGTTCAAGAAATTTGGGGCAATAAATGCGGTAATGCATCGAGCCTCTAACAAAAAAAGCCTTCATTTTTTTATATGGGCAAGTCTACCTGCATCTTGACCTCTTAAATCCCAACAAAGTTGACATTACACTGGCTTTGTTGGCTCGTTGTTTGTTTGTATGAACCCTAATGATATTCTTCAAAAAAATGTTCTATTTCGGTTTACTAAATTTGTACGTAGTAATATATAACTTGTATGCATCTTTTTTTTTTAATATAGCAAAGTGCCTCGAAAATGTTGGCAATGGGTAGGAGGATACGTTGGTGTTTAACGACCCTTGGCTTCCTATGTTCAGAATGCCAACCCCTTTGCAACACCCAACTTGGAGGTATCATGTTTACTAAACTTGGGGTAACAATGTCTTGAATAATGGTTCTTGAATGTGAAATGGGCTTTGGGAGAGCGAAAGTGTGGACCAATCTTATTAAAATAGTGTTGATTGTCAAAAGTCTCATACTGAAAAATCACTAGTAATAATAAGAATAATGGTTTTTGACCATCTGTGGCCCTCATGTTGGCCCCCCTGGGGGGTCCTGATTGATTAATGAACTTAGTAATTATTATTTTGTGACATTATCAGCTGGGACACTCCAAATTGGAAGACATTGCTGCTAGGGAAGACCCAAACCTCTTCTTAGTTCAGTCCATTGGCAGGTTATTTATTACAATAATAATAATAATAATAATAATTATTATTATTATTATTATTATTATCATCATTATTATCATTTTGATAACTTATTCTTATGAGTGGAAATGATTTTGTGTTCCAAACAGTGGGATGAATTAGGAGCAGACAGAGTAGACAGGATGGATGTGGGGTGGGATGGGAGGGCAAAATTGACATATTTCGCAGGATGGGTCATGGGTCATGTTGATCCATAGATACACACACACAAACACACACATATATATAATATCTTTTCTTTTTCTTCTTCTTCTTCTTTTTCTTCTTCTTCTTCTGTAATAAATCATGTTTGGGTTCAGAAATCTGTCACCATGGATTGTGTCCATTTTGAAGTATTTGTCCTTATTGCCTCTGTTTTTGGGTCTCTGCTCATCAGTCCATCATCACCCATATATTTTGCTAATCAGGAGAGACCCACCAGTAACATGCCATTATTTTGGACCCATTTTTATCAAGTGAAAGTTAGATTTGGAAATTTAGATTTGGATTTTATTCGAAATCTAGATTAAACACAAATTATATGTTTGGGAATCTAAAAAAGTCATACTTGGATTTGCCTTTAAAAAAAAAATCCAATAAAGTTCAATTACAAATCAATATCCCCCCCCCCCTTTAATTTAAAATCCAAGAATTTAAATTTTGAATTTGAAATTCAGTAGTTCAAATGAAATTCAAATTTTCCAAACACTATTTTTTTAATTAATTGGTTGATTTGACGCGGATGAAACAGATTTAGTTTTGTCTGGTAAACATCACTTCGGGTAGTTTTAGATTAGCTACTTAAAAACTTAAATATTACTCCCTCACTCTCTGCTTCTGTTTATACTCCTTCCGTCCCATTTTATAACGCCTGTTTCGATTTACGATGTTTGACTAAAGTTATTTTCAAATCATTTTATATGACAAATGGTATAGAGTTAAAAAATAAAAATTACATATCAAAATACTACATCAAAAGATCTACAAAACTAGTAGTGACAACAATATTTTATTTTATCAAATTACTAACGAAAATAGAGAAAGAAAGTGAATGAAGTTTGACCCTGTGAATAGTGAACAGGCATTATAATTTGGGACGGAGGAAGTAATATTTAATTGATGTTATTTTTCATTCAATTTATAAGATTGGGGTCAAATCTAATGCTCCTCTCCCATATTGGATGTCAAACTCCTAATGCAATGTAAAATCTTATCACTTTTAAAATTATTTTAATTAAAAATTGATATAGAAATAAAAAATAAAAATTATGTTGTTCAAAAGTACATAAAAATCTCTATAAACAAGAGGCGATAAGAACATTTTATTTATTAAATTATCAATGAAAACATACAAATAATTAAATATTATCGATAGGCCGTAATAGTAATATAGGTATCCATTTTGACATAGAAAGAGAGCTTATCTTAATAAGCCCTTTATTTTTATAAAAAATCACGTGTTAAAATTTGTGCTAATAAGAATGAATTTGCTTAACTTTAAAAATTTAAATTATATGAAGAAAATTTTATCACTCAACTTACTCCCAATACTCATGTGGCTCTGAGCAAAATGAGGTTATCAAAAGTATCTTTAATATGCAACATTTTTAAGGAATTGATTCACCTAAAAAAATTTAACTTGGAGTATTTGTGGCCTGTTAGTTGCTTCATTTAATAATTAAAGAAATTGCTTAATGAAACAATTGTATCTTAACTACAAACTTTTTTAAAACAACCCTCACTAAATTAAAGATGCTAGCTCACACAAACAAATGAGGGGATGGTTAGAGACAAATATTTATTTTATTTCTTCATAGGTATAACCATTTAGAAGCAACATCCAAAAGAAGCATGGAAGTGGAAAACATCACTTTAATGCACTATGAATTCAGATAAATAAAGAAATGGCCCTGACGGCTAGAAAACACTTCCGTCCTAATTTTTTGTGCACCCATAAAATATTTTAACTCTACCTAAAATGCCTAAAATATCTCCAAAACCACTTCTACACGCCATAAACTAGGGATGTATTTTAGACATTTTAGGTGGAAGTAAAAGTATTTTATATAAGTGCGTAAATATTAAGGCAAAAGTACTTTCAAGAAAGAAGAGAATAATATTTTCAAAATAATCAAATTAAATGTTGGACACTTATAGCCTATTTCAATCCCACAATTTTCATTTTTTGTATAGTCTAATGGGACAACTCTGTAACCTCTGCAACACTTTCTACTACTTCATGCATCAAAAAGAAGAAGAAGAAGAAATCATAATACCAAAAACAAAGATCTCAGTGCCTCTGCATATCTTTGACCATTTCCCAGGCCATTTGTTTAACGAATAAAGGTAGGTGAACAATTAATTAATTCCACAAACTAAAAAAAAAAAAAAAAAAAGACAAACTAAGTGCCCGTTTGGCAACAGTTTTAACGTTTAGATTTAGCATTTTTAAAAGACTATCTAACAGTAAAGTTCANTATGAAATTATCCAAAACGCTAATTGAAAACGATGCTTCCCAAACGAGGCCTAACATGGGGACATGTGTATTAGGAGTCGTGGCGGTGCTTGCTCCAGCGGACGAGCATGCCGATGCACCGCCTGACGATGTAGAACTTGGCCTTCTGTTCCTTGGCCAAGTTGCTACATTTCCTGGTGAACGACGCGCTCTTCGCGAGCCGGGCCTTGGAAGAAGAAGAAGAAGAAGAGATCTTCTGAGAGAGGCTTCTAGGGAGGGGCCGTGGCGGCGGAGCCGGGGCGGCAAGGGAGTAGCTCCTTGTTAGAGTGGGCACTGAGGAGGAGGAGGAGGAATGGGTGTAGGGATGATAGTCATACTCCATTGATGGTTGGGGATATTGTTATTTGATAGATGAGAGAGAGAGAGAGAGATGAGAATTAATGAATGAATGAATTTGAAGGAAAGGAGAGTTGGTGGGCTTTGGTGAGTGGACTTGGGAAAGATTGATGAAAGGTGTATTTATAGTGTGAAATTGCTACTTTGAACAGATGTTCCATCTCTAATTTTGTTCTCAATGCCATTATTAATGACATGATTCTTATTTTGAACTCTCCATAATTTTTATTTGTCTATGTGTCTCTAATATTTATTTGATAAAAAAGTGATTGTGTAGTGTCTTATTCTGTAAGATTTTTTGACGTAATATTCAAATATATAAATTCATTTTTGTGTTTCGATACTAATTTTTAAATAAAAAGATTTTAAAATGTGTGAGTTTTGCATCATGTCAGAATCGAAACTGTGTCTTTTTTTACACTCTCTCCGTCCCAAAAAGTATAGCACGCTGCACTATTCCAAACTCACGATGTTTATTTTTATATTTTCAATGTTTTTTTGATAAAATAAAATATTTTTGTCACATTTTGATTGACTTATAAAATTTTTGACGTAGATTTTAAATGTGAAAGTTTTATTTTTTTTTATTTTTATATCAATGTCTAATTAAAATGAATTGAAAAACTTGAAATTTTATTTCAGCTTGTGTAAAATGCTAAACAATTTAGGGAAGGAGAGAAGTAAATTCATTGTGAAAGTACAAAATTTAAAAAACTCATCATATTTTTTTGGTCAATATGAGAAGTAAATTATTGGACCGGCAGGATTATAATTTATTTAAAAAATGAGTAATATGTTTTTGAAGGAAAAACAAAAAGTAGAGTATTTATTTATTTATAGTAAGAGAGAGAATGCGCGCATAATATGTATTGATTGACGAGTGTTTCTTTGGCTCTGCCATGGCAGCATCACATGTTCTCTCTGACAACTAACCGTCTTGTGAGTGTGACTTCTTATTAGTCTCTGCTCTAAAATCTACTAATGTTAACAAAACAAAATCAAATAAGGACTAGATAAAATTAGTTCTCGTGACATTGAAATCAATTTTATAGGATAATTTAGGAGTTTTTATAGCCATTTGTTCGAACAATTGACGGTTCATACATCTTATTTTTTTGATAAACTCCAACTCCGGCCTGACCTGAATTCATACTCCCACTCCCTTCAATCTTCAATTGCACCCCTATATTTTATGGACTTTAGAGTCAAATCTTTACTCCAAAATCAACAAATTTTGTGGGGATGTAATTGAATGTGGTAGATTCGGGTGGGGTCGGTGTAGGAGAATTTATCAAGGTAAGGGATTTAGAACAGTTAATTTTTCGAACTAAGCATCGTAAGGCCTTCGGATGATTGCATGACATTGTTAGGCAATGTCATGAGAACCGCCCCCATTTGAAATAATATAAATATTTTGAGACACATATTTTGAATATAGAGTAATTTTTTAATAATCGCTTTTTTCATATTTAGAAAAGTAATAATTTAACTCTATTAAATTATACTCCCTCCGTCCCCAATTTGATTACAAATTGCGGGTTACGGAGTAAAATTTCCTACTTTTTGAAATCATTTTATTTACAAATTGGTATATCAATAAGTTATAAAAATTACATATTAAAAAATTATATCAAAAGTTTTACAAAACAAGAGGTGACAATGATATTTTATTTTATTAAATACTCATGAAATCGCGTAAACAAACAAAAGTTATCGAGAAGAGAGAGAAAAAATTTTTTAATCTATTTAGGGACGGAAGGAGTATATATCTGTGTGTGTAGACACACACACAATCTGATACCTCCATCCCAAAATCTTGTCCTAGTTACTATCATGAGCTATTTATATCTTTAGTTAGTTCGCACGTTTTTATTAATGATTAGATAAAATAAAACATTTTTTGTTCGTCTGGTTTTATAAAACAGTTGATATAGTTTTTCTAGTGTAATGTATACTTTTTATTTCTATACTAATTTGTAAACAAAATCACTTTTTAAATGATTGGACTTGGCAGGTTGTTTGAAGTGAAAACAATTTTTTAGAAATGAGGAAGTATATATATATATATGCCCTATATCCCTGAATAATTTATACAGTTATTATTACGGTCTCTTGATAAGTTTTATATTTATTAATAGAGTAAATTTCATAAATGGTCCTTAAGTACATGTGGTTTTCCATATTTAGTCCATAATTTTAAAATATTACATAAATAGTCATTAGTTTTTGAAAATTATTACTTAATCGATCCTTTAGTGACTATTTGCAGAAATAATATTTTATAATATTTGGGGTAAAGGACTATTTATGGAATAGCTTTCAAAAACTGAGAACTATTTATGTAATATCTTATAATTAAGAACTAAACATAGAAAATCACTTGTAATGAGTGACTGTAAAAATAATAAAGAATGTTTTATTGATTGAATGATTTAGAGGAATACAAAGTAATGAATATATAGGTGGAGTTGGAGTATTCTAGAAATCTCCCTATTTATGGCTAGATAAATAAGGAAATATTGTATTATAATAACTTTAGCTATAATAGGTAACAACCATAAATATAATATATAATATTAAATATATTAAAATAATTAATATATTTAACATGCTACCAACGTCTTGGGAGGTGAAGATTGAACGCCAACTTTTACTTGAATCGTGACCAGAATTGTAATCAGAAGGCATATCTTCGACTAGAGTAGACTGAATGCATCCCGACAGAAGAGAAGAAGAAAGATTGCTAGGAAAGAGATGTGACAGCGCTGATGAAGAGAGGATAGGAGCTGCTGCAAACAAACTCATGCTGCTGACGTCGAATGAGGGAGAAGGTTGACGTGCGCTGCAGTCGTTCACGACTAATTT